GTGACAACGAGGAGGAATAAGATGATATCAATGATAGTCATATAAATATTCTCACTGGTATTGGTACCTGAAGCACCGTTGTTTGGGAGCAACGTATTGGTGTAGAAGACAAAATCCTGAAAGTTGCATCTGGCACTGACGGTGCTACAACATCATGGAGTCATGGTCTCTTAGAAAAAAGAGTGTTAAAATCTCGTTATTGAGGGGTTATGCGCTTCTTCACGTACTTCGGCGGACGAATCAATAATATTAAGAGATTACGGTCACAATTCTTCTCTATCAAACACACGACATGGAGTCATTTATTAACATAAAGTTCTTTCATGAATACTGGATCTAAATACGTGAAACTAACGTGGCCCCAGGTCGCTTTACCTGACATCAAAACAACAGACTATTAGAATCAAATATACACAAAAATGAACTTGCCCCCTCCCCGACCCCGTTAGAACACATATCACAAAGCTATCGTATATAAAAGCTTCAAGAAGATATGATAGTATTAGGTAGGAAAACGCTATTACTGAGCAGGTCAAGCCAAAGATGACTATATATTGATAACGGATGGGAAATTTGACGGGACAACAATTACGTCATAAAAATTAAAACTCCAACGAAGGTGAAATAAGGTAAAAGTATATCCAAATATGTGATACATATTTGTTGCCGTCCAGAGTGGCAAACCATCCATACCGATATGGACTCAAACCGTCTCGCTGTTCAGCTCAAAGCGGAATTCTTTCGTTGCAACCGCTTAATAGAAAGAAAATGTTGCAGGCAGCTTAAGTGCGCAGCACTTGACAGATATGCAAACTAGCGGTAAGACTTCAGTCAAGACAGCTTAGAGAAAGCAATTTCGGAATCCAACGATTTTGCAAATGAAAAACATTCACTTCTGCTGACATTTTCAGGGCATACCGACTACAACTATAGACGATAACATAAAAAAGGTCGATGAACAAACAAGAGTATAACATTTATGGTTCTTTTGAGCAGGCGCTGTTGCCCACCACGAAGCATGATGGATCCGATCGCACAACCTATCGTTTACATATATAACACATAATAAACGTATGAAATCCGCCGTTGCCGGTGCCAAGCACGGATGAGAAAATAGGGTTGGGGAGAACCGCGAGATCTCAGTTCCAGGTACGACTTCGCTATTTACCCCTTCGGGAGGGAAGATAGTCTACTCAGGTATCGACATCACGACATGCGCACTAGCCGCTGTTGGTGATCTGGTAGAACCAATCTGGTTGATAAAACCACTTAATGGAAACCTGTCAAGCGAAAGTGGCAATCCTCCGATTGAAGCTACAACAGGCTAAGGAGCTGACATTCTTACAGGTCCATGAGCCCAATTTTGAGGGAAAACATGACTTCTTCGTTGAGGAAGTGGTGTGTGTGCTCTGTAAAAAGTGAAGACCATGGAAATCATCATTCTAATGGGCGATTTCAAATCGCATATCATGACAAAACGTAAAAAGTGGAAAGGAATTGTT